AGAGAAAAGCTTTATTTTGGCTCACATTGTTGGGGTTTCTCATGTATGATGGGTTCCCTTTAGCGCTTTCAGACTGCAGTAATCAGGACATCATGGCAGCAGCATGTGAGCAAAATCATTCCCTTCATGGCCAGGAAACAAGTCAGGGCAAGAAAGAGACTAGAGTTCATCAATCTTCCTCATGCACACAACCTTAGCACTCTAAACTTTTCCCAATATATCCCACATCTTCAAGGGTCCACCATGTCCCACCTTGGAAACAAGCCTTTAATTCCTGGACCTCTGAGGCACATTCAGGATTCAGACTCTTTCAGCCCCGTAACTTGATAGCAATGCTGAGCTGAGCCTCATCAGCCCCTGCAGTTGTAACTAATGCTGTGCATATTCTTCAGAGATGAGACCCCTTTCCCAGTGATAGAACTGGGAGCTGCAGTGTTTCCTGGTATTTTGCTGTTGTGTTTTTGGTAATATTTGATGCTTTCCTAATTCTCAATAGGTTATACAGTTTTCCTCTTCTGTGTGTAGGGCTGCAGGAAGTATCTTCTGCCATGATAGCTTAATGATCATAAATGTCTTTAGTTTATAATTATCTTGGAATTTCCTTCAGTTTGACAAATGTCTTTGCTGGACATAGTAGCCTAATTTGGCAGTTATTTCATTTTGGAGCTTGTAATATATTGTCTCATGGCCTCTGGGGTTTAGAATTTCTAAATTTCCCTGAAATTACTCATGGTTTTGCCTCTGTAAGTAGCCTTACACATTTTTCCTTGTAGCCTTTAAAGTGCTCTTCTTGTTGTGTACTCTTAGAATTTTAATTATGAAATTCATATGAGGATGTTAGTTTTTGGTCATGCCTGTTTGGGGCCGTAAATTCCTTCTATTCCTGGATGTCTACATGTTTCCCTAGATCTGTTAAATTGTCTGTTATTATTTCATTGAGTAGATTTCTTGTGTATTTAGTTTGAACTTCCACAACAATAATTCAAAAGTTTGGTCTTTCACCTGTGTCCTGGAATTCCTGGAAGATTTGTTCATAGTTTCTCATTTTTTAAATGGTGTCTGAGTGTGATAATCCATCAAATTTGTCTTCAAGCACTAAAATTCTATCTTCTGCCTGACTGAGGCTTTTGTAGAGTTCCACTGAATTTCTGACATAAGTTTTGGTTCTCTTCACTTCCAAAATTTCTGTTTGTTTCTTCTTCAGAATCTCTACCTCTTTGGCAAATATTCCCTTCATATCTGGCATTATGTTCCTTAATTCTTTCAAACGTTTCTGTGTATTCTGCCTGAAGTCATCCACTTTGAAAAATCAGTCATGAATTCTTTGTATGGCACTTTATCCTCTATCAATATTTGAACAATCAGTTACTGATAAGTTATGAACCTCTGGATGGGCCATGTTGCCTTTTTTCATATTTCTTATGTTTCTATGTGGAGATTTGTGTATCTAGAGGGAGGGCTAGGTCTTCATTTTTATACGAAAACCTTCTTCATGATCAATCTTTTTTGAGGGCTTGATCCCCATAATAACCCAAGGAGGAAAAATCAAACTGCAGTGATGAGGATGATGCAAAGGCAAAGTAGATATTGAAATCAAATAAAAATGAATCAAATGCACCAATTCCACACCATTAATAATAGAAAAGAATATGCAATAATTATAATAGAGAGTATTTGAAAAGGCTAAAATTTAACAATTTACAAGCAATAATAAAATATAAATAATAAAAATTTAATGAGATGGAGAAAGTAGAAAATAAGAAGTTGCATAAATAAAATTGAGAAATGGAAGATAACCTGAGCAAGAGAATGAGAAAAAAGCATGAAATAAAAAATTCTATTAAAAAAGAAAGTAAATAACAAATAAATGTAACAGAAGAAATGAAATAAAACACAGTCAAGAAGTAACCGAAAAAAGAAACAACACAAAATAGAAAATAGAAGAAAAGGTAATTACTGTAGTTCACCAATTGGTGAACCAATTCTTCCTGGCTGAGATGATCAAATGGGTAAATTTTATTTCCTTGACCTGGAGCACTGAAGGCCACCACGTGTAGGGAAATGATAGTGAGTCCCAAATGGTGAGTTCCTTACCACATACCAGGCTGTATCTGTGTGATGCTGCATGCTGCCCAGCCTCTCTCCCTTGGCAGGGGCCATCAATACTATGTTATCTGTCTCAGGGCTGTATTCAGTCCATAGGCTTTTAGAGTTTGTACATTTCCTTTTGTGAACCCTGAGGCACTGCTGTCCCCAATTAGGTCTGTGGCACGCTGGTTGGAGATGAAACCCAGTTATGCCAGCAACTCCTGTCTGTGTATCCGGGGATGTGACAAATGCCCAAGCAGAAGTATTTTCCTGAGCACATTTGGCAGGAAAGCAAAGAGAACCCCAGGTTTTGTGGTGGAGAGGCACAGCTTGGGGAACCCGGGAGTTGGGGGTGAGTGGATTGATCCTGCTCTTTCTGATGCAACCCCCTCCGAATACCACACACGCCAGCCTATGTCCTCACCACAGAGCTCTTCCTGCTTACACTTCTCAAGGGGTCTGCAGCTATACTTACCACTCTTTATGACCATTTCTTGTTTCTCTTTCCCATTTAGTCACTGTGGAGTGATGTTTTCAGGGACGTTGAAAGCCATTGTTCTGTGTTTTCTCTTGCCCAGAGAATCTCAGTCTTAAACAATAAACCCTTCCCAAAATGGTTCCTGGTTATACCAACCACAGTGTATTTCTTCCTCAAAGTGAGCCCAGCATGCAAAATGAGTCATTTTTAGAATAAATCCACACAGTGGGCTCACAGTGCATCTAATCACAGGTTGCTCCTGGGTGAGCACTGCCCATCCAGCTTTCATCACTGGAGCCACGTACCCTCTTCAGGATCAGTTTGCACTGGTGGAGTTGGGCTCCTCTCTCCACTGGAGCTGACTTTGCAGATTGCTTCATTCTTTAGTCTAGTCACCTTTGGGATTTTTATCTTTCCTGATTCTTGGAGCTCTTGTTCTCTTTCTTCTTCCCAAGCAGTTTTCCAGTTGTCTTAATTCCAGATTGTGTTGAGGCTGTAACTGGTGCCTTTTCCTGCTCTGCTATGTATGACAATTGAAAAATTCTATAATAACCAATATACGTATATGTCCTTGAATCTATTAAATAGCAACCCTTCCTAGTTTTTAAAATTTAGAGAAAATGAAGATCTCCTTGTACTCTTAATTTTGAAAACTGTTTTAAAATTGAAAATATGCTGTTCATGTGGTGGTCTAATTCTAACTTTAGTATGAAGCCATTGCCAGTGTCTTTAGAACACCATATCTGCTACAGAATAACAGAGGTTCCTCAGGTTTAGTCTCCAGTGACAAGAAAAATGAATGAACTAAAGTTGAGGGCTGAATGTTCTCCATTGTGAATCCTTGGAATGGCTCCTCACATGTAGGGCCATTGGGTTGGTTCTGCAATGGGTTTGGTACCAAGCAGAAGGACACCGAGGCAAGATCAGTTATTAGTCTAGTCTCTGAGGTCTTATCTGGGTTCCATCTTCACGTATTCATAGTCCAGGTTTTGATGATATTTATAGAATTATTTAAAAGCAATTTTGTCAGAGAGGCCAAGATCACTCCCAATTAGAACTAGGCCAGTGTTATGTATTTAGATGTCTCTCCAAACCTCATGGTTTTTCAGAGGTGGCTGAATCTAGACTGTGTGAATTATTCATGGTGGGGCTAGGCCTGAGGACACTCGGATTGAGGGTGTAAGTGCTGTCTATCCTCAGTAGTCTTAATGAGATAAAAGGTCCAAAAAGATGCTGTTAAGGTCCCCTTGTTGTTTTTGCTACCATGTGGGCATCATGAAATGTTTCTCCTCTGTAACGTCCCTCAGCTGTGTGCCACTCTGCCTTGGACCCAGCTGATTATGGACTGAAACCTCTACAAAGTACAAGCCAAATAAATCCTTTCCCCTTTAACTTTGAGTGTAGGGTATTTTGTCTCTGCAAGGAGAGAAAAATAACTAACACAGCCACAATATTTCTTTTTTTTAGAAAACTATTACTTTCTTTTTCTGACAGTGATCACAAACTGGAATGTACATGGTTTGCTAGAAAAATAGAGAGTCTGTTTAAATTGAGGAAAACATGTATTACAACAAATATACATTGTCATTGATGTCCCTGAGAACCCTCCCCCATGCTTCGAACACTTGCCACTTTCTGAAGCATTTTTATATGCGCTTTCCATTAGAACTTTAATTTTGCTTTTGTGGCTGCCTCAGTGTCCTGAATGATTTCAAAAGATTTATCCCTCATGGTCATTTTGAGTTTGCAGAAGACGCAGAAATCACATAGTGTCACATCTTACGAATTTGGTGGATAAGGACATACCATAATATTTTTATGAACCTACTTTTTGATTAGACGGCAGCATATTCACCAAGTTTTTGATCATATTTAGTAAAAATTTTAGTATCATATTTAGTAAAAAACACAGGAGGACTTCTAGAGCTACTTCAGAATGTGGCAAGAATGATGTGATATATGTGTTTGAAGTGAATGGAAATATTAGAGGGCGATTCCTGTAATATATCTTTTACTGAAATATTATTTTTTTGAACACATGATGATATTCAATCAACCCTTGTATCATTATGAGATGATATAACATTTCAATTTTTGGGACTAAAATATTTCTAAGGTAACTTATATCCTCATGGCATGGAAGCCATAGTGTGTTCCCTCACTTGGCAACTATGACAGACTAAGAGGCCAGGATTCCCTGGAACAGGTCATGGCCTCCCTGGCCAAGACCCAGGAGGTACATTTGGAATGTTTTTTTGCTAATCTCATCTCCTGCAGGATGCAATGAGAGCAGGTGTCCAATTTGAGAACAAGTAAAGCTGCTCTGAGCTGATTTGCATATTGTATCAGTAGAGAGCAGTCAGACCTGTGTAAAGCCTCTTTAAAGGCAGCTTCAAGGGCCTGTGAGGAGTGGCCTATAGGTCAGCTCTCAGACATGGAGTACAAGGCTCCCCTGTTGTGGATGCTGCTGCTTTTGGTTCCAGGTAAGGGGTGCAGGCAAGCGTTGAATATACTTAATGCTCAGCAGTGTTACGGATGCAATGAGTCTGTATTGGGATGGTGTTGGTGATGGTAGGTTGTGTTCCTCTATCATTCCAGGCTCCACTGGGGATACAGTGCTGACTCAGTCTTCAGCCTCCTTGAGTGTATCTCCAGGACAGAGGACCTCCATCTCCTGCAGGGCCAGCCAGAGTGTTAATGCATATGGTATTGGCATTATGCACTGGTATCAACAGAAACCAGGACAGCCTCCCAAACTTTTGATCTATGAAGCATCCAATCAAGCCCCTGGGGTACCAGAGCGGTTCAGTGGCAGTGGGTCTGAGACAGACTTCACCCTCACCATTCACCCTGTGGTGGCCGAGGATGCTGCACACTATTACTGTCAGTAGGGTAAAGAGCTTCCTCCCACAGTGCTTTATCTCTGAACAAAAACGCCTCAGGCAGCTGCTCACTGAGGCTCAACCTCACAGATGCTTCACCCCACCCAGGCAGCTCTCTCTTGTGTTTCTAGGCTTGCTTGGATTTAAGGGTGAAAAAACAAAATAGAAACATCTTAACCTGATATGTGTTTCAAGCTATATGCTTTATAATTTTATGATATTTGTACTTAAGCCCTCATTACTGCTTTTTAGTGTGTTTTCTGCATTCAATAGTCTCTTGTCCAGAGAACATTTTTTTTTTTAGTTCTTTTATTGGTACATTTTAGGTATACAATTCATTTACATTTATCATTGGGTG